CTAAGAAAATCCCTGCTCAACCACTGTGGCTGTATACACACACCACATGTGCTGATAAGCAAGTTTACCTTAAAAAACTTCAAGAATCTCAGGAAAAATTCACTGCATTTAGCTGTAGCATGCAGTACTAAATTTTACAAACAAACTGCTTGGAAAAAAATTCCCACAGTAAAACAAAGATGAACCAGGACAAGCTTTGAAAGGTTACTATGAGAGCAGGCTGTAATTACTAGTAAGCATTAATAGATACAGTTCATGCTTTATAGTCATATAGCAACAGCATCTATTTTGCTAAGAGCCCAGCAAGGAAGTTCCCTCAAGCAGAATTATGTAAGAGACCAAAATATTTGGGTCTAATTAAGAGTTGTTTATAAGACAGTCAACTTATTAGCAATTGAACTTCAGCTTGCTTTTTAAGTCAAAAGGCATATTTGCAAACTTGCTCGTATAAATCTTCAAAAGGAAGTATGAATTACAAGAACTACAGAAGGAATGTCACTGTCCCAGACAGAGCCGAAACAGTTTTTAGATAAGATAAGCAAAGAGCTTGACTGGAGCTAGTTGTAATAGAGAAATCACAAGCCTCAGCAGCAAGAGCCTTCACTATGGCAGTCAATGACATATCTTTGAAGAGGCTTTCCAGACTTTTTTCCTATTTTGCAAGAAGACTGCAAGAGAAAACAAAAACCAGAAGCATGAGTTCCTCTAGAAACCAGAAGAGAATCACATCCTATGGCCAGGTTCCTCCCCCAGAGTCCTTGGGAGAACAGTAGCAAATATATGCACAGACTATTACTAAAATAGTATCTGATGTATAGAAGACATTTTTATTTGCTGTGGGTTTGTTTTTCCCTCTTTTTAAAGGGTTTGTTGTTGGGTTTTGGAGGGGTGCTTTATTTTTTTTTAAACTCAACTCCTGTAAGGTAAATCTAGGTCCATCTCAAGCACTGCAACTTGCTTACAGTGGGACATATTTGCATATGTTTATACAGCTTCAAATATGTTTTCTGATCTCTAGTACCTAGGTAAATTATAGGATAAGAAAAATAAATTACAATTAAAAATAGCTCCTATTCTTTGGAATGATGTGGCTGACAAAATACTGATTTTCCAAAGCAGCGGATGTGATTATTTGAAACATTTCACCTAGATTCTAAATCACACTAAGAATAGTAATAGGTTGAACTAGAAAATGGGCTGTTAGATCCAGGCTAGAACAGTTCTGTATATTCACACTATTTTCTATTTTCAACTGCTTAAATACTGTAATGTTTTGAAGGACAATTTTAAATCTTTTTTGCCTCGGTCTACAACACCTGAGCACACTCAATTCAATGCTTTTTTCCCCCACTGAATTAATTGAAGGCACCACTCAAACTTCTGAGCTCCACCTGCCATTCTTGGGAGGCACCACAAAGTCAGATGTAATAAACCACTGGGAGTTCTTACCTGAGTCATTTAATGACACAGCTAGGCTATGACTTCTTGGGTTCACCTGCTGTGGTCTAACTATTACTCTGCATTTTCTACTTTACTTCTTAAGTGACATGTTTTGGCAGAGAAAGAGTATTGCAAAGTCCCAGATAAACTGTCATGGTAAATCATATATGGATTCTTCTTTTGCTTTCCTTTCACCCTCCTGAACATCATCTGATGCTGCCCAGGAACTTTTTTGCCATTTTCTTTATGAAGAACAGCAGTCAACAGTTACCTCAGACACATCTACTTGATTATCTACCTTAGGGAACATGAAGGCAACCAATAGGCTGCTTGAGTTTCTTACAGGCTTTATAACCAAGCTTCCTTATTTGTTCCAGAATCTGAACTACTTAATAATATGAAATTCACTTAGCTACTGCAATCACTGAAGTAAATCCATGCTGATAATTTTGATCAGCATCAGCATTCAGAATTAGATGGGGTTGATAAGTCTTCAAATACAGCTTTGCTATACAGAAGAAAATTAGTGAGGCTCAAATACAGTAATTTTTTGCCAGACCTGTAATGGGGTTTATATGGAATGGTTCTCTGCTCTCATTGATTCATCTGAAATGGTAGACTTAACAGGCACTGAAACTGCTCTCAGTAGGGTTTGATCCATTTGTCCCAAAAATCAATTAATTCAATTATTTAAAAGAGATCACTTAAACAGGAAGTGAGGCAGAAAAAATTAAACATTTATAAAATGTTATTTGAACAAATGTAATAGTAGTCTTAGTAAGTCAGCATTCCACTTATTTAGGTAAGGCCAGAAAATGTGGAGGACTCACACAACTGGCAGTCATGCTAGCATCCAAACTATGATCTCCACAATAAGCCTCAACTCTTCACCTAGAATCTTCACAAATTCGAGATGAAGGCAAAGAGATTTCTGACTTGGAAAACTGTTATTTCTTGCAGGCCCATTTGAAAAGCAGGAGGCTTGGTAAAGAGCTCGCTCATTTAGTGAAAATTCAGGTTGACAGCTTGGAGACTGACTGTCATTTATATTAGGGAAAGCATGGCAAAGTGGGTCCCAGTCAAAGCTACAGGTACTCTTTAAGAGTTCTTCAAGAACACAGAATGCATTAAATCCCTTCTATGTTCAAACAGCCATATACAGAACAATGAAATGCACTTTAAAATCACATAGCTCAGCATCATGTAAGTTCATTACTTTAGCATATTTTTTACCAGATAATACCTATTGGAGAATTCAAAACAAAGCCAAGCACTACTTAAATCTAAATTATAATTAATTCAGTTATACTTCTACCCTTTAAACCCTCAGGTCTCTATTCCATCTACTGTAGTACTACCCAGACAATTTTTTCCTCACAAGCTATCACAATTTGGTATCAACATGAGATTAACACAATTTTTAAAATAAATTGCCATTCTTTATCAATTTTCATTTCATAGAGATAGAAAATAGTTTATGAAAAACCACTAAAAATAAAAAAAGCTTCATGTCAGTGAAGACAGCAATTGTAATCCAACATTCATCCCTCATTAGAAAGGTGGTCACATGGAACTATCATCACATCCTGGCAATGCTGAAAAACTACAGGCAACAGTTTACACACAGTCTACAACTCAGATGGTGCCATGCCAAAGAGAAAATCAGCAGATCATGCAATTGCCTTCCAAAGGGTTTAAATAGCCACTAAAAAACTCTTTTCTTGCTCTTCCAACCTCCATCACCTCCCTGAGATTCACCACACACACATATAGTTTACCACACACACATTACCAGTCATAGTTCACAATTTTTAGAATAGCAATGCTTTGGCTGATGCTACTGCAGCAAGGTTGAGTGACCTTAGTGCATGCTCCCTTCATTTTCTGATGCCAGCACCCTGAACAGAGAGGGAAGGGAAGGAGCAACAAGATGTCTCAAAACTTAACCATTTCTCACCATTTCAAAGGCTGAGTGCCAGTTCTAAACTTTTTTTTTTGAACCTCAGGTTCAAGCAGAGATGTCAGACTCTGCTTTTTAATTACCAAATTATTTTTTATTTTAAAAAAACACTTCCAAAAGAAGAAACAAACAGGGAACGGCCAGTCAAAAGAGCTCTGAACAACTAATAGAAGGATAAAAAGGAAAAAAAAAGAAGAAGAGTAGCTGAGGAAAGGAAAAAGACCTATTGCTAGAGACTGCAGAAAGCTCAGTTACTACCAGAATCAGCAACACTAATGAAAACAGAAAAGCTCAGCAAGAACAGTGTGCTTGCACCCATCAAATTAACACCTCTGTCACAGCCACAGAACAGGACAACACAGATTGAGCTCCAGTTTTAAGAGCACTCCATACCCCCAAGTTAAAAAAAAATCTCACAACCACTGGATAAGGAAGGACAGAAATCAGGTGATGTAATCCTTATACAGATTTATGAGCAGGGTTTGAAAAAAACCTAGATTTCAGAATGGAACAGGACTGAACCCCAAAACATCCACTGCTTCTACAGCAGACAGAGGAACAAAGAAATCATGAAACACAGCTGAACTTTTAACAGGGGGCACAGTGTGTGCAAACATTACATGTCAATTAGATTATACTTAGTCTAGTACACTGCCAACTGTGTGCAAATGTGAACTCGAACCTCCTCCTACACCAAATGTGCTTCACCAAGAGCACATCTCACCAATAAGTTCAAAGTCAGCTTGGCAGACTTAAAATGGATGAAGCTAAATTCACATATTTTGTTATTTTTCTTAGCAAAGCCTACTTCAATGTGTACCTAAAACACCTTCATTTAACCTTGTCCTTAAACATATTTGACACAAACAGACACATTGCTTTAATTATAGGCTGCTTTGAAAGTTCACTGAAGACATTTTTCAAACATGGAGAATTGCAGGACAAAATTCCATTAGCGACCTTTCAGTATTTCAAGCTCCATTTCCAGATGAGCAGTCAAAGCCACAGACACATTTAGAACAGTAATGTGGACAAGGTCAAAGTAACTCCAAGAGATTAAGAACATGGGGTGAGATTTATCAACATCTTGCCCAAAGCCAATTTTACCATTTAGTGACATTCTCTTCTGAGAGCATTACAGTACAGAAGTGGTAATGTATTTGTGAAGTTATTCTAGTAATGATTTTTCCTTGCTCTTTTTGCCACCTTTTACATGTATTCAGATGAAAGAGTTAAGTCATCTTCTCAGCTATTTGTTTCATACCAATGAAAGGCATGGCCCTTTTTCCTAAGGCTTAGAGAAATCACTTATTACATGATCATATTCTCCAGTCTCCCTGGCAGCTGTTTCAAAACAGACAATGTCTGTCATAGTCAGGTTAATCTCCAGGCTGTTAATTACAATATTTATTTGGCACTTTGATATTCATACATCACATTTATTTTTTAGCTCAGATTCTCTCTTCATAAACACATCCACAGAAGTACATATTTCACATACTCTCTAAAGAAAATTTTATACTAATATGTACAAGTTTTTAAATTACTGTAGGTTTTATGTCATTATATGCATAACAAAGAAAATTAAACAAGACCTTACCTCAAAATTAAACTTCATTTAATAGAAAATTAGTTTGTCTGAAAGTACTGTTTGATCACATGGAAGGCTTCCAGCAACCAAGTCTGTAACACAAAATACAAATAAGTTAATTTCTTATCCCCAGTTCAGTAATTTCTGTTTTTCAAGTACCTTCTCTGTCAACACACTGGAAAGAAAACAACTCAGGAAGTTGTAAGTTTCCTTTTCCCTTCAGGAGTCAGAATTTGCATTGCCAAAATGTCTTTGTGCTCAAGAAAATAAATTTCAGTCCAGGTTTCTAAATTACTCACACATAAGAGCTCATAATAAATGAATTCATGAGTTTTTGCAGGTAAACACTTTGAAACTGCCAAAAGTGTCAGTTGTCAGAAAACACAGCCCAAGTCTGGGTGTTAACATAAATTAAACTATCACACTGACCTCTCAAAACCGTTTCTTTTGCATTAGCTGTGTTTTTCCATGGTTTACTGTCCCTGTGTGGAATGACAGTTTAAAGCACCACAACTCAGGCCTGTCTGGGCAATCTCCCTTCTGAAAGTATGATTGAAAAAAAAAGGTAAAAACAGAGTTTTGTTTTGTTTTTAAAAGATGACAAACTCTGTCTCAAGGCTTTGGCTGTTTTGAGGAGGTGGGTTTTCTTGCTTGGGTATTTTCAGGCTTTGTTTATTAGACTTTGCTTTCTTTATTTCCCCCTAGGTTTCTTAGGCTCATTTGTAAGTTTTTACTCTAAACAAAAGCTAATATATCATAGTGGTTTAATAATCATGAGGGTGGGCAAATCAGCTTGCACACAAGCCATTTAGCAATTCTGGATCTCCAGGGTGCTCTGAAATAAAAACCATCATCTCATCCAGTATGTCCAAACACCTCCAGGCACAGCATTATCCAGGCCTAGGTCTGGCTGCTGGCAAAGGCTTGTGTTCCATGTGTGCAGTTATGGAAGGCTCTCATCCCATTTTTATATCTCCTGGACAATCTAAAAATTCAAAATCTATCCAAATTTGAAACCAGTTTATGCATCATTTTAGAAAGACCAGGATGTTAAAGAATAAAGTTATGCTTTCATACAGCTACATGGCAGGGAATGCCTTTCAGCTGAGAAAAGCCCAAAGCAACAAAAGAGCTGCAGATTTTAACCAACCAAATTTGGCAAAAATATTTGTGATAAAAAAAAAATCATCACTGAATGTTTTTCTTGTCTTGGTTGGTTAGAAAAGTGATTTTTTGCTTTCAGTGGACTGTTAAGCAACATTAGCTCTATGCCAACACAACTATTAACTACAGGTTAACAGATTTAATGCAGGCCAGAGTAAATGCAGTATACATACCACAATTATTTCAGCACCCAATTGATCACCTGCACCTGCATTAAAATAGGCAATGCATTAGTTTTCTACTTGGAAATTTAGATCCTTGCTCACACTCATCCAACTTCTCAATGCCTCCCAAGTTTCCAGTAATGAGCAAGTAATGTACAATTAGATCTAATTAAAAAAATGCCAGCAGCCTGCACCTCATGGGCTTCCCACTCAAATATAAGGTGAGGATAAAAGCAAGTTCAGCTCCCAGGACACCTGAGGCATTCCCAGGGTGGCTGTATCAGGGCATAGGGGATTGATCTGCATTACAGTAACATGCCAATTCCTGTTCAGCACATAAACTCACAGCCACCCCACTTCCTGGACATCACTATGTCCTTCTCCATACCTGCACATATTTGAAAGTTCTAAAATTTGTATCAAGTGCAGTTGTGAAGTAGTTCAGTCACTTGCAACTGCCACCTATCTTTGTTCTCAGTCTTTGTTCACAAAGACAGCAGAAGCCCTTTCAAGTCCCCATGTTCTGCAAGCACAAAGCACCAGCTGAAGCATCTTCACCTCTATTCAGAACCACCACCAATGAAGGCTGACACTTTCTGGACTTGTATCAAAAGCTGAATGCCCACAGAACATACCACATCTAGCAAAGAGCAAAACCAGACATAGCAGAGAATAAAACGACCATCCCAATATTGCTTCCTTCTAGTTGCACTGCACAAAGGCCCTCAGAAAAATTTTCCAATTCAATATATGTTGTTACCATCATGATGATTTAAATAGTCGTGAAACTGCTTTGAAATTTGCCCTTTTCAAATGCAGTTCCAAAACAGAATCATTGCTTAAAATAAAAAGAAAAAAAAATCAAGCAAACCCAAAAAAACCCTCCAATAGTTTGTTTTTTTTTCAAGCTGTACACCAAACATGGGTAACTAAAAAGTTATTTTTCTGTAGTTTATCAGGAGGGTCTATCTACTTAAGTGTTTATGAGACTAGGAAGGAAGGGGGTAAGGCAACTGCTATCTTAACACTTTATATCAAGGGATGAAATAACACAACTCATTTGCAAGAACTACGAGAAGAACTCAATTAATACACTAGCATGTTTCAAAATGACAATTTTAAATTGTAGATTTTAAGTCATCAAAATACTTAAGAGTAGAAATTTTGATATATCTTGTGGAGTCTAAGGAAAACAAAAGTTGCTTGTACTATTATGTACTTTAAGACTAGCTGGAATAAATATGACTGTGGAAAAAACATTCATTTTTCAAGTGGGTTAATTACTGCTGAAGCAGCCATATATTTTTTTACATATCAACAGGGAGATAGAGTGTCCCTAAAAAAACCTATTAATCACTGTTTTTTCATTCCATTGTCCTCACTTCCTGGAATGTAGTCAGAGATGGAACTAGACTGCCTAGAAGCCCAGTCAGCAAAGCAGCTGCCCTGAACCCAGCATTTGTTTACAATTACTGGAGGGTGGGAGCAATGAGTGCATGAAGCACCCAACTGCAGAAGTTTACACAGGGCTTTCTGAGTATTTGGAGTATTTCTTAGCAGTAGCCCCCTGGCTTCCCCCTCCCCTTCTCTTAGCTGCAGCTACATTTCTGTGAACTTCTTTTGGTTCAAATGTTAGTGATGTTATTTACAGAACAAGAAAACTCAATAAAGAAAAGCACTGAAGAAGAATGTACTTTCTTAATTCTACTGTAGATTCCTACACGATGAATTAGAAGTAAATTACAGTTTTATCTTTATAGATATTTCCTAGGTATTTTCTAGATTCTTGGTGGTAACAGTTTCATTCACTAGCACTTTGATTTCAGGCTCCCTGAGATCAAACATAAATTCCAGCATCATCTCATACAACATTTTCTGAATGTGGAAGATCTTTCTGCCCACGTACTTCCTCTGGGTTTATGATGTGTGTTTTTCCTATGCTGTGTTTTGTGGGTTGTTCTTTTTGTTTGTGCTTCTTTGATTGTGTGGGTTTGGGGCTTTTTTCACCACAACCAAATCCAAATCTATGGTCCATTACAGGGTATGTTTTAATCCTGTTGGCATTCACCACCACTTCACCTCTGCTAAATGAATCTGCTAATAGCTTAATATTTTAAAGATATAGACAGGGGAATAGTTACTTTGGCACATTGGGAAGTTTAGTTTAGGACATCTGGAACATTGGGGAGCTAAGATCTTTGATCAAGTTCCAAACTATGTTCCTTGCACATAATAAAGATATTGAATGGCTGTTTCAGGCTGGTGTCCTCTAGTGTGTGACTGCTTTAAATTCTAGTTCCTTCTTACCTGTCTCTGTTACTTGCTTCAAGACTACTTCATAAATGATCACAATTCATCTAGTAGAAGGTTTTTCAGCATTTAGGCAAATTTGACTATGCCCCATATGAAACTATACTCTCAAATGCAGTTCTTCCCTACTTGGAACAAAATGTTATTCCTTAAAAATGGTGAAGTTTTTTAAGTGGCGGTTCAAGCCAGACTTTATGGGAACCTGACAGATGATGGTAGCTCATCCCTGCACTGGTCTGCCAAAACTCAGCTTTCAGCCCCTCAGGACCTATTATTGCTTCACTCTTATCAGATCTTAACTACTGTATTTCAGCTATCAATCCTTACAACAACCAGCACATCTGGGATAATAGTTTTGAGGAAGTCTGACAAGGCAGAACAAGTAAATTCTGCAACACGAGAGCAAAGTATGGCATTAATTTCTTCTCAAGGCTTCATGTTTGTATATAGCAGAGAAAAAGTATCTGCTGTGATCATTAAAGTCAACTATGCTCTGATTAATTTTCAAAATTATGTAAATTTAATCTCTTAGATTATGCTGCTGACCCAACTTTCTGTGATTAATGTTCATCTGTTTTCATGAATATGAACTTTTTGTCAAGCAAATATTACTTGTCTTCTGTTCAGGGCTCTTCAAGAGCAATCAATAGTTTTTCATAAAGGAGCAGTAATTATCCAAACTTTATTCTGAACTCCAGCTTCCCCTCTAGGTAAATTTAAAAAAAAAAAAAAAAAAAAAAGCTTCCATTTTTGTTGTCTAGGACAAAGATAACTTTGTTTAAAGTAAGCTGTACTCCTATTATGGTAACTTTCAATCTTTGTATTACTATGATTTTTATTACAGAACTACTACAGCAAATGTTCACATGCAGTCACCCTTGGTAAGTTCTTTAAAACACGTTTGCCCAGAAGAGCTGTCTTGTTGGCATCAAATAGCAATGTCTCTGCTCTGATGACAGGCACTAAGTTTGCCTTGCCTGCACAGGTTGGTGTGAAGTGTAAAGCAGCCAGGCCTTCCCACCCTCCTCAGAGCACTGGGAGGTGCCACATGTCAAACCCACCCACTCTCCTGTGGTGACATGAGTGACCCTCACATGCCAGCACCACTACAGGAGTGGCCACACAATTACAAGCATCAACCACTATTATGTAATATCTGCTAGGAGTTAACTCCTACAGCCATCATCAATGGCTCTTCATTCATTCTAAAATCTCTGGCTATAGATTTGTGCTTAGAATATAGCCTTTTAAAAGCAGAGATAAATACATAATTTACAACTGTATCATACAATATATAGTAATTTAAAATGACAGGTAAAGATGCAAAACAACAGGTCCTCAAAAATGAGTGCATGGCACTTTCCTCACCAAGATACCATTCACACTGCCTGTAGTTTCTGACCTTTTACAATTTGGAATCTATGTTAATATCATCCTTTATTGCAAAACAGACAGTCTGCAAACAGTTTAACAAATGCAAAGAAGATGCTAAGCCTAGCTTTCATAAGAACAGCCAGTACAGCTTGCCTTAGAACAGTTGCAGGATACCAGGGGCTGAGCAGTGAACACAACCCCACACAGCAGAAATCCCTCAGCGAAGGGACTACTTTCTTATCGGGGTTCGCTGTTATTTGTTTCTGCCCCGACATGGGAAAAGTGGTTCTGGGCGGCCGCGCTTCGAAGGACGAGTCTGGACTCTCAGGTTTTCGGTCTTCAATCTTGTTTATTGATTCTTATCTACAATATTTTCTCTCTGCCCAGCCGAGGTCCGCTCAGCAGGACAGCCAAGTGCACTCTCCCCCGCCCACGGGATGGTTGTGTCTTTTATAGTGAAAATTACGTCGATCATATTTACTTTTCATTCCCAATACTTTTCACCCTTATTGACAAGTGTACCTTCACCATGAACCAATCCAAAAGTGCCACCATCACCACAGGAAATAGAAGACATGAAGAAGAAAGAACCCAGGACCACGCCCTGAATCCTCCATCTTGTTTTCATGACCCCCCTGTACCTAAATTCTAAAATCTATTCTTCACCCTGTAAATACACTATTCACACCCTAAAACTTCTCATTTCCTCATACACAGATGTTTCATCTCTAGATGGATCAAAGTCAAGCCACCAGACACTTTTGGCAACATTCCAAGGTCTCCGAGCCCCCCAAGGGTTATCACAGCGACTCTGGACATCCAGAGTGAGGTGTTGAGTTCCCACACTTTCTTCTCATGCTGGGGTGCTGTACACTCTGAATATTCAAATATGTACTTGCATTCAGGTCAAAATAAAACAGGTTTCATCTATGGTGCTAAACATTACAGAATCAGTTATTCAGCAGTCTATGATTCACTGGTTCAGTGGCACCTGCTGAGTTTCTGATCTCCTATGGCAAAATAAATAAAAAATAGTACATTTTGCATGACCTTTATGTAGAAGTGTAAATTCAGCTGTCATAAGCAGCTACCATAAAAACAACAATATGGGAACCTGCACTTTTCCTTAGTTTTTAAGTCATTAATCACTCAGGCCTCAAACCTTTCTCCTCAATATTCTACAGTGGCTTCACATTTCCCTTCAAACTACTTATCCCAAAAGGCATATCAATCCAGGATACAACAGGCCATGTTCCCAATCCCCAGTGAGATTGTCTGTAATGTGAACACTTCTACTTTGAACAATGACACACAATTCATCATCCATTTCTGCCTAAATACCTGCAAATAAAGTAATTGG